TTAATTTAGTTTTAGCATTTAGACACACTTTGTAGATAAATTTCGGTGTCACTATTGAAATAAATGTGTCTACGTGGGGTTGCCTAATTTCTTGCAATCAAAAGCACCCTTAATTCTTTATGTTGCTAATTTGATGTATCAAATATAATCAAAACGCATCGAATTACTATGCTAATGGATATGTACCAAGCCAAAATCTTTTTGAAGATAAACCATATCCCATTAAATAAAATTTTTAATTACTCAAGATTATGCTAGAAAAGGATTTCAATATTTTCATGATTAGATTAATATAAATAGGGAAAAGATATTTTTCATCATTAACTGTCATCAACCAAGTTTCTAACTATCACTTTTAGAATCTAATTAATCACGTGTTAATCTTATTGTCGAACATTAGGGCTCACAAAATGGTAGTTAATTAACAAGGTGGTTATTCGAGAATACAAAATTGAGATTTCAATTCCACTTGTCATTTCGGATAAATTTAGGTAAATTTTGGCTAATAAAATGGTTTCTTAATGAATGTTTATTGGTTAATTAACATATTGTAATCTATAGTAAGGAGATAAAAAGGGTGCTAGTGCCAAGTTGTATAATTAAACAAAAGAAAAGTATTCCCACTAACATTATTAGATTAATTTAATTTATATTTCTAGAACAAAGTTTCCATTGCAGATACAGATCTATTTGCGCCAAATTGATTATGTAGAGGTAATAGGTCTAAGGTATGGACAATGTTGATCAGTTGATGTCTTGCTGGGTAGAGATCCGACATAATCTATAAGGAATATGCTAATTGTATATAATGACGTGTCCATAACGGTGTCTACCTTCCTCACATGAAAAAGGACTCACTTTAGATAAATGAAAGGTGAGTGGACACCGCATTATGTACGTATAGCATAACCCAATCTACAATATTGGTTGATCGTGTGTGGAGTCGGCAAATCAAGAACTATTAGCTATCACGTCGACGTATTTTTCTTCTAACTTTTTGAGTTAATTATTTTAGAAAATAATACATTTTAGTTCAAAAAAATTCCAAGTAAGTCGATCTAGCGTATTCGACCTACCTTTACACGTGTATAGAAGATGATTTAAAGAGGTTACTACTCCCCACTATATTCAGTTTATGGTCATCATTTCAGATACATTTAGGTTCTCTTTTCACAATGAAATGGCCTCTTAGTTAAGGTTTATTGGTTAATCAACAGTCAACAATAAGGAAAAAGTAGAGTGATACTGCCAAGTGGATATCCAAACTATAGGAATCTGTATCTTTTCCCATTAACACAATTAGATTAATTCAATTTACCTTTTGATTAAGGTTTCTACTTTCTTCTATACAATGATTAACATTTGTCCTTTTTACTTTTTGAACAACCACACTCATTACCTAGAGGAGATGTGTAAGATGGGACGGGTCGGCCAGCCGACCGACCTATTTGCATTGAGAGAAGCTCAACATGGTCTACATTTTTGTCGATCTTCGCACGTCCGACCTGTAAATAAATTAGGCTTGACCTGAATTTTTTCTAAACTTTTAGTTAGTTTTGGAGAAAACGGAAAAATTAATTGAAAAACTCGAGTTGGGTTAGCCTAACACATCTGCTTTCTCCAGATGAGAAAGGTTATCTCGGGAATGGATGACCAATCCATCTTTACACTAGATAGAGAATAAATATGTACGGACATTAAGTTCTAGAAAAGGCCTAAGTCCATTAATACGGTTATAAGAATTATAGGCAGTGGAATTTATGTTCGATTTTAAGTAGATAGAATAGCCAAGACCATTCCACTCGTACTCTAACGTGCTCAATTCAAGTTAGGTATATTTGTACTAAAGTAATGAGCCTAACATTAAGTTCTCGTAACCAAAATTTTCTTTCTTACTCCTTACCATTTTGCTTCACTTCAAAACAATAAGGGGACTTTGCATTTAGACGAGGAAAATCGACTAGAAACGCGATATCTTCCCATCCCAAGAATGCAATATCTTCAAGAGGAAACAATATATCATAACTAGGTCACTTAGGGGGTGTTCTCTTTGTGTTTCAGTTTTGTGTTTTGAGTTTTGAATTCATTTTGAGTTTTGTGTTTTGAGTGTTTGTTTTGAAATTGTTGAAAATACGTTCTTTTTGTTAGTTTCTCAAAACAAAAAACAAAAAATTTTTTTTTTTTTTGGGGGATAGGGGGGGGGTTTTCAAAAATTAAAAAAAAAATTTTTTTTTTTTTTGGGGGATAGGGGGGGGGTTTTCAAAAATTAAAAAAAAAATTTTTTTTTTTTTTGGGGGATAGGGGGGGGGTTTTCAAAAATTAAAAAAAAAATTTTTATTTTTTATTTTTTTTTAAATTTTGAGAATCCCCACACTATCTCCTCAAAAAAAAAAAAAAAGGGTTTCCCGCGTTTTCAATTTTTTCAAGTTTTACACTGAAAACGCCCAAAACGACAAAAAAGTCGTTTTGTGTTTTCTTCACAAATTTTTTTTCGTTTTCGAAAATTCGTTTTCGAAAACGGGAAAGAGAACGCGTTTTCACTGTTTTGAAAAATCGAAAACAGAAAACGACCCGAAAACGGTAAAGAGAACAGGGCCTTAATGGTTCTCTTATTTTTTAATCTGATAACTCTATCCAAATTTATTATACTCAAACGAAGAAATGACTTGAGTTGACATATATATTGGTTTGATAAAAATTATAATAATTAATAACTGGCATGTCAGTGCTTAAGAATTTTATGGTAGTCTACCCAATAATATTGCATTACTGTATATGCAATATTTATCATTTTCTCTCATTTCACTCGAGTAGATTTATTGTGCAAACAATAAGTAAAACAGCAGATAAATCGCACTTTTTACAAGAATAATATTAATTAATTGAAAAGTGTCCAAAACAACTAGAGCTGCAGTGAATTAATACTTTATACGATACCCTTTCAAAAGGAGTAGTTGTCTCCGTGCAAGCTTTCTTTTTCCTCAGACTTTGGGAACCAAAGATGCTCACAGAATATAATTTCTAGTGATTTGTCCATCTATGAATGACAATTATTTGTGCTTCAAAATCATTAAGTCCGTAAGGGATAGAACCAGTTTTGAACTATATTCTTATCCTCTCCAGGGTGAAAAGACGATTAATCGATGCTTAAATATCTATCGCGTATGCCTTTTTTTTTGTTAAAATCATCAAACTGAATTTTTCAATGACACCTCCATAGGTAACAACTTGTTACCCGCCATGAATAGCCTTCTATGATGGCTATTTTAATTGTGCCAAAAAATTATTTGATGTTGCAAGAAAGTTGAGATCTTAACCGAAAAATGCATCCTATCAAGCATGCTTAAAGAGTAGTCGTGAAATTTAATATACAAGATTTTATCATTTTTTTTCATCTTTAACACATCTTATTAAACGAACCATAAAACAGTACAAAGACGCCCATCTGAGAAGAATTTATCTTTGCGTAATAACCTTTCCTTCCTCAAGACTTTGGGAACCAAACATGAGAGGATGTCTAGTGATTGTCCATCTCACCATCTGTGTATGGAAATTAATTATGCTTCAAATCATGCAAGCCCATAAGGGATAACATCAATTTTTGGCCATATTCTTATTCCCACAAAAAAATAAAAAATAGTTTGACTGATGATTGATAGGTGTCTCAATTGCTATAGATTGTACTCATCTGCTTGCATTATTGAGGGGCTTAAATGATTAATACCAAAGGAACCCTATTCTGATTGTGATAAAGGAATGAGGAGAAGCCTTTCGTATGTATTATTTTGATTTAAACGTTCTCTTTAAAAGAGACAGATTTATTTTTGTCTCCTTTTTTTTTTCACAAAATATTGAGAATTTGATCATAGAATTGCACACAATCCTCTCTCTATATCTCTCAAATTGAGGTTTCCCTTTGATTTTCCATCGTTGCCATTTTGATCTAAGGAAGAAATGAACAAATTACATGATAATGACAGTAAGAACCCTTGTTTCTTTTTTTAATGCGTGCATTTCATTGACTTTAATCTTTCTTTAGCATGTAACTATCAGTGGTCGAGAGTTGAAGAATCTTTCAGATCAAGTTGTGCATAGTTTTCACTTAACTGATAATTTGTATTTCATAAAATGCAAGGTCATATGTACACGTATTTTTGTTCGGTGGGGATTTTGTTAATTGATTTTTTAACCGTTAGAGATAAAGTAGGTCCTATCTGTGAGAGAAGAATTCAAAAATGACGGTTAAAATAGTGAAATAACGTTCAAAAAATTGATTTTAATTGGCTTAACATCCTTACCAAACAAGCGCCTAAAAAATTTGTTCATGTCTCATTTTACTTGGTCACGATCAAAGAAGTCTGTGGAAAAGAACATGGCATCATTAATTTCTCCGACAGCAACTTGTCCGATCTCATATTACTACCTTCCAAATCCAAATCAGCCACACCACATTATAGCATGTATAAAGTTCTCTTTAAGTTGCTTTTTCCTTTTTTCTACTTCTTTCCTGGAAAATAATTACTTTTCATCACAAGTTAGTCACAATATTACCTCAAGGAAAAAACGAATAATATTTGTATTCCCACAATCACCAGTAGTTTGAATAGTCTACAGACTAATGGAGAAGTCAGTTTCCTCCCTACGGCCCCCACCACCCCATCGCCACCCCTACGGATAAAGACAATATCTATAGTATTATTCCACTTGTATAGGAATTTTATGTGCAGAATTGATCCAGAAATCTCACATAAAATGTACCCTATGTAAATAAAATAACGCCAAAAAGAAAAAACCACCAACCCCACCCTGTGTCTTGTCTGGAGGGGTTACAGAACCCCTCCATCTGTACATGAAAAAGCATTGCTATCTATATCTATACGTGGGGGACTGGGGTTGGGGGGAGGGTGGGATACAGAACCCCGTTGACAAAACGTGTTCATTGAGTCCTCAGGCTGAGGTCGCACATTTATAAGTTCTTTCTGTGCCTATATATAGGCTGCCTTGGCTTCCCAAAATCCACACGCCCTTCTGCATTCAATTCTTGATCAGTTCCCCATTAAGTAGAATTTCTTGATAACCATTTGTGTTTTTCAAAGCTTTGAACTTTGAAAAGTATGATTCTGTGAGAATTCTTGTCAGTAGTTTAAAGTACTGGTAATTAAATACAGTTGAAGAGTGGTCCATTTAGTAATTTCGTGGACCGAATTTAAATAAGATCACTCATTAACACAGATTAAGCTTATTTTCTCTTCCTGCATAGCACTGATATTTCATTTAATAATTGAAACAAAGATGGGTGAAAACAATAGCCATAACCAAGCGTTTGATGTATCCCTCAATGCGCCTCCTCAGGTTGGTTCCAAATGTTTTGATGACGATGGCCGTCTCAAAAGAACAGGTATTATATTCCTCTCTATCCATTTTAAAGTTTTTTACATAGTTTTGTTGGATTTAAGCTGAATTTTTCTTTGTACCGTGTATTTGAATAGGAACTGTGTGGACTGCAAGTGCTCATATAATTACAGCAGTGATTGGTTCTGGAGTTTTGTCCTTGGCTTGGGCCACTGCTCAACTGGGTTGGATAGCTGGTCCAACTGTGTTGTTCTTGTTCTCATTTGTCACCTACTACACCTCTGCTCTTCTAGCATCATGTTACCGGTCGGTTGATCCCGATACCGGAAAAGGAAAAAGAAACTATACTTACATGGATGCTGTCAGAGCCAACCTAGGTAATTTCTGTTCCACTGTGTGGAGCCTAACTATACTGTACAGTTAATCTCTTGAGTGAAGACGACCTAGGGCGCTGTAGTATTACTGTTGTATTTCATACTGAACTTAAGTTCTTGTGGTTCTTGGAATTTTCAGGTGGCTTCAAAGTGAAAATTTGTGGAGCAATTCAGTATTTGAATCTTTTTGGAGTTGCCATTGGTTATACCATTGCTTCCTCTATAAGCATGATGTAAGTATGAACCAAATTCAGAGTTAGAAAACTCTGTATTAGTTCAGTTTTGCTGTTCAAGTTCATTCTTGGAAATTTTTCTCATTCAAGAATATTGAACAGGGCAATCAAGAAATCCAATTGTTTCCACTCGAAAGGAGATGATAGTCCTTGCAGAATTTCGAGCAATCCTTACATGATTGCATTTGGTGTTATTCAAATAATTTTCTCCCAAATCCCAGATTTCGATCAAATATGGTGGCTTTCATATGTTGCTGCAATCATGTCTTTTACTTACTCAACCATCGGTTTAGGCCTTGGAATTGCCAAAGTAGCAGGTAGGAGAGGAACATTTTTTTTTTTTTTACTGTTCTTTTAATTTCTGCTTTAAAAGCGGTTAATTTGTTAATTTTAAGTCTTAACCTAATATTTTTTGCATTTTTGTTATAGAAACTGGGAAAATAAGGGGAAGTCTCACTGGAATTAGCATAGGCTATGTCACTCAAATGGAAAAAGTATGGAAAAGCTTCCAAGCACTTGGGGCCGTAGCTTTTGCCTATTCTTACTCCCTCATCCTTATTGAAATACAGGTACGCAGTATTGACAGTATAAAGGTCAAAATTTTAACTTTCCATTCCACCATCCAATTTTGTACAGTCGACCCTAATACACAAGCCTAATTTTAATTCTATCAATGTTTTTTAACAGGATACAATCAAATCCCCACCATCTGAATACAAGACAATGAAGAAAGCAACTCTACTAAGTATAGTAGTAACAACAATTTTCTACATGTTCTGTGGTTGTTTTGGTTATGCAGCATTTGGAGACCATTCCCCTGGAAACCTTCTCACTGGATTTGGCTTCTACAACCCATACTGGCTTCTCGACATAGCCAACGCCGCCATTGTTATCCACCTTGTAGGTGCTTACCAAGTTTATAGCCAACCCCTTTTCGCCTTCGTTGAAAAATCTGCATTAGAATGGTTCCCAAATAGCAAATTCATCACCAAAGAAATCCAAGTCCCAATCCCGGGATACAAGCCTTTGAAACTCAATCTCTTCCGACTCGTGTGGAGAACAATTTTTGTGATCATTACAACTATCATTTCCATGCTCATGCCATTCTTCAATGATGTTGTTGGAATTTTGGGCGCATTCGGGTTCTGGCCTCTTACCGTATATTTCCCAGTCGAAATGTACATAGTCCAAAAGAAGATCCCAAAATGGAGTGCAAGATGGCTCAGTCTACAAATTCTTAGTGTTGCTTGCCTTATCATCTCCATTGCTGCTGCTGCTGGATCTTTTGCTGGAGTTGTTTCTGATCTTAAAGTGTATAAGCCTTTTAAGAATGTGTCCTAATTTTGATCACTTTTTAAATCATAATTACAAGAGAGAGATCAAAAGAATTTAGGACAGTTATTGTTCATAGAAGGCCTAAAATGGTGCACTTGATGCCATTGTTTTCTATCTTTAATGCAATTTCTCATTGTATTCTGAAGAAATTAGGCTTGTATGCAGTTACGTGGGATTCAATATTCCACATTCTTCCCAAATTTTTAGTTGTATCTATTTCAGTTTCTCAGTTGAAATTAAAAAGCCATAGTCTTGTATAAGCATGTACAATACATGAAAAGCTTCTCAATTTCTTCACTCTTCATCGTATAACTCTCGACACAACGACATAAACAAGAAATATATATGGATCAACTTGTCCATCGATCTTAAGTAACATGAAATAACTCATACGAGAAGGAAAATAAAAAAGACGATAAAAGAGTAAAGGACCCTTCTTGTCCAATTTACATAATTTAGGCTATGTTTCATTGCTCCACTTTTTCCATGGAAAGATTTCAATTTCCAACTTTTGATTGTTTGATTATCCAAATTTTTCCTAGAATTGAAATTCCAACTTTCTTGCCATGTCAGCATTTTCCATGAAATTGAGGAATTGGAATTCTCACCAAAATTGTGAGAATTGGAATTCCCGATTACGAGCAATTTTATTTTCGTTTTTTTTCTTTTTGCAATAGAAATAAATTCTAAGAATTATTGTAAAAAAAATTATTTTCTTTCAATTGACAATTTTCATGTGAAACAAAATCAAACGAACACCAAAAGATAGATAATTTTCTTGATTTTTTTTCTTTTTTGACAATGGAAACAAATTTCATCCCTAATACCAGTATATTCTATCCCTTTAATTGACAATTTTCATGTAAAACAAAACCAAACGAACACCAAAAAACACTTTCATTTTAACATTTTTCCACATGAAAAATTATATCAATCAAACACAATAATTTACAATTCACAGGAAAACAATTTTTAGACAATTCAATTCTCTGAAATTCAATTTCTTTCCACCAAAATTCCATATTTGCAATCACACGGACCAATATTATTTTTCAAACTTGCTAAAAATTTCTAGGATAAGGCATATAATAATAACTTTTACCTAAATTATTGGCATTCAAATCCTACCGGCCAGAAATTTAATAATTGCTTTGGTTTGAAATTGTTCAATTGTCCTTTAGAGACCCGTGATTTATGGTTTGGCATTAGCAGACAATGAAGACAATACGGACGGATTCAATTCAATGAATTGCTGATATTTTAATATAAGTTTCCATTTTTGTGAAAAAAGAAAATTTGTGGTGTGGTAAAATGAAACCAAAGTTTGATTTGACTATGTGAAATGTGTGCCGTTTTTAAATTCCGAGATGGAAAATTAATCTCATATATTTTGTTTGATAGAGTAGATTAATAATGCTTAAGAGAAAAAAGCGTGTGACATCACATCGTCTTCTTTTCAATTAGTGGTGCATTAAGGGAAAAGGCACTTTCAATGGAGCTTATGAAAGGTACCAAGTTACCCACCGATTTTCCACAACTAAAATCATAATAGTTGGTGTCGCTCTACCTGTCGATGCAATAAAAATGTTCAATAGATTTAGCAAGTAGCCACCCTCGAGACCGAAATTAAATGGCATGGTTGATCAAACTGTCGTAAATAATTTTATTCTTGGTAAAAGGTTGCATCAAATCCTCTTGGACCACACTCAAACTGTGTTTTTCCAGTACTTTTAAACTACTAACAATATTTCACACGCTTCTCAAAGTTTTGATAATCAAGAAATTTCTGCTGATGGGCAACTGAGCAAGAATTAATTACGGAAGGATGCATGGAAGAAAAAGAGGATTCAAGTGTTCTTACTATGCCAGCATTTAAGTATCAAACTAAGGAAGGATGCAAGGAACTACTGAAAAATAAAACTAAAGGGTAGAAGTACTGAAAAACAAAGAAAGTTTCGCCGAAGGATGAAATAAAAGGTTACTTCAAGTTTGAAAACCAAATCATTTCTTAGAACAAGTCTATAGGTCTCGATCCCTTTGTGAACGTACTCGATTTCTCAAATAGATAGGAATAGGATACATTCCATCGTTTATCTTTAGTCTAAGAGGCGCACTTTCTCCCCACTTGACCAGTGTCTTTCTATGAGTCGACAAATGAGCACTTCATTTCTTTCTTCCTGCACTTGCATGGTTAGACTTTCATCATTTGATCATCTCTCCTGTGCGTGTAATTGATCGTGAAAAGTGTATATTCAAGTGGGAGTTAGTTTACATTAAAGTGAATCGGAAACGACTTGTACAACACCACGCCTTGTATTCATCGTTTACGATTAGAACTATTGAGGTATCTAATCCCATTTGCTCCCCTAACTTTCGTCTCCCAGTTTCAGTTTCAGCCTAGCTAAGTACTTTTGCTGATGAAGTTCTTTACATCTCTATGCATTTCACTGCTACACCGAAAATTCACCCTACCATACTGTACTCTCGCTATGTTTGGTCCCTGTTTTTTCAAAATCTATTTTTTTTTTAAATTCATTTTCGACCACACATTCTCCCATAAAATAATATTATACGTAAATCAAAAATCATTTCTTATTTTTTAACCACACATTCTCCAAAAAATTACTACTTTAAAATACATTATCTTACAAAAATGGGGCTCAAATAGAAGTCGAGAACCAAGATCCCTCACCTCATAAAGGTGCACTGCGCCTTTTCAAAAGTTGTCAATAGCATCGCACAATTAGGGATTGAATCACGAATGTCAAACGCATTAGCAAATAGATCAATGCCAATTTGATACGATGTTTTCTCACTTTGGGTGTTCGATTATATGACAATTGGTTACGAAGTGCTAAATTAAAGTTCACACAACCTAATGCATAAAAACCAAATTTAGTATAAATTTAAAGATGATAAAGAAGAAGATTCACACACACACACACACACCCACACCAGGCTAGTCTAATATTTGTATATGACATTAAGCACGACTCACTTGGAACCTCGTTGGTCCAATTTTTTTAAGTTCGCGAGATAAGATTAGTAAAAAAACATGGTTAAATACAAAATTGTTGTTCAAATGCATCCACAGCATGGATGGGACAAATAAACTTCAAATATCCATTTCTTCTTCTTCTTCATCAATGGCGCATTAGGGAAAAGAGCACTTTCGATGGACCTTTGATATACTGATTTTTCAGTCATGTTATAATTATTCATATCTAATTAGAGTGGTTATGTAAATAATGGCGGTGCAGTGGTCACAAGAAGATGGCCGCCGCCACTAATGGCAGTGGAGCCAAGTCCAATCACTGGATGAACAAATAAACTTTTTTCTAAAAGTTTCTTTTTGTGAAGGTCTATAGATGTGGCATGCGTGGGTTGGTAATACACACAGTCAATGAGATCTCTAGCAAGTCCATTCCAACTTTGCCTAACCCAATTAGACTTTCACTTCAAAAAAGAAAAATAAAATGCAAAATAGAAGAGAGATGTGGAAAAGAAGTCCCACAACTCCTATCCATCGTTTAGAATTTTAAGTGGAGCACTGAGGATATATCTTCAAGATTCTAGGGAAGGAAGGATCCTTTATAGATAATATGATATAAGTAAAGGTGTAAAACTTTTATCGTAAGTGGAGTACTAAGGGATGCATCTCCACGATTCTAGGGAAAGAAAAAAGTATCTTTTGTCAATATGCTACTCCATAACGATAATACGACAGTAGAAGTAGAGACATAAAATCTCTCGACGTGAAATGCCATAAATAATCAACCAATAACTTTGTTGAAACAAAGGCTTACATGATCAATTTATGAAAATTGAACATTGATCAAAACATGAAACAAGTCTATACTTGAAGAAGAGAATCAGCATGCCCACAAGTATGGCCCCAATTCAACTTCCACTTCCCCAGCACCCCCAACCACACAAAAAAAAATAAAAATGGGAGGAGGAGGAGGAGGAGACGACCAGATGAAATTGTCCCACGACTTTTATTCATCATATATAAAGTAATGAAAAATGAGCATTAAACGATGGATCTCCAAGATTATAGGGGAAGAAAGCAACAACTTTCTCTGTCCTGCATCATCAAGGTAGGACAAAGTAAAAAATGTAGTTTGTTGGCCCTTGTTTGAGCCCCATTCTTTTGAAAAAATATATTTTTCAACAGTGTATTGACATCATTTTAACCACACATTTTTCAATAAAATAATATTACACACAAATCAAAAACTTTTCCTTATTTTTTAACCCTACATTTTCCATCAATACACTATTCAAAAATTCATTCTTCCCAAAAAAAGGGGGCTCAAACAAGGGCTTGGTGTCAAGCAACATAATGAATCTAAAATTTTCTATTTCATCGCAAACGAGGTATAAAATGGTATAGAGTAGAGTCTAAAATCATAGCTAAATATTCTTATGGCCCTGAAATGTGTGCTGCATAATCATGAATGTAGGACAAGATAAAAATGTCAAATTTGTCGGTGTCAAATATCATAATCAATCAACAATTTTCTATTCCATAGCAAACAACGAGGTATAAAGTGAGTCGTGCTTAACATCATACACATTTATATCAATTTTATATATATTTCGTGATGCAAATAATGTATATAAATCTCATTGAAGTATATCATAAATTTGAAAAAGAAAGAAGCCATACGAGGCTATACTTATAAATTAATAAGCAACATAGTAAAAGCCCCAAAATTTAACCATCCATATTCAAACTTCTCAATGAATACCAATAACCAATGCATCTCACTTTCACAAGTACCAAATGAAAGCCCCAAGATAACGGGAAAAATAGGAGTTTCTGAAAGCAAGTCCTCTAAGGCACAATTTTGACTCAATACCTTTTACTTTTCGATTCACTCTTGGAAAGCATCATTCCAGAAAGTTTGCTGATCTCATATAATAGCCCAGCAGAGAACAGAAAACTGCATTGGCATATCCAAAACACACTTAATCAATGTTAAAAAAATCCCTGTAGCAATTAAATTGTTAATAGTATTGAAGTGTTTTCGTCAGTAAATTTGAATCTGTTTTAACATAATAGAGTATGATTTGAGNGTAGCAATTAAATTGTTAATAGTATTGAAGTGTTTTCGTCAGTAAATTTGAATCTGTTTTAACATAATAGAGTATGATTTGAGAAGATACATGAATTTTAGCTTACTAAATAAAATGGAAATTCATGGCCAGTCCAAAGAATCCATAATGAAGCAGTGTATTACATAAATCAATCTCATGGCCAGTCACTAGACCAATAGTGAAGCAGCTCCCTGGAATATGAGAATGGTCCCTTCAGAGGGGTGGAAGCCACCCCATAATGCCTCACACAAGATGGATTGGACAGAGAAACATGGTTTTATTATGTAAAATATAGTAAGGACACGTATGGATGGGGTGACTAAAAATGGATTGGAACTCCCAATTCACTGGTGCAGGACAAAGATGTCAGTTCTGATTCTAACTACACAAGGAAAACACAAATTTACCCTTATAACTTTTCGGTAACTTAGACCCTTCTTCTACACAGTCTTTTTAGGTAGGGACTTGGACAAAAGATAAAGTGCATCAAATAGAGTAAAATATGATTTTCTTCGTGTAGGTTAAGCTTGTACATTATCTAAAATACTTAGTCAACATAAGTTTGAGTTCAGGGACTCTTTCGATTTAACCAAACAGGAGGTCAACGAGTAAGGATTCCTTTGGCCATGCTTCTTAAACTTTCTAGTATTCATGTTTTCTAAATGGGGCCATTTTACTTGTATTGCATTGTAAAATGCCTGTCACTTTATGAGCTCAAATGAAATCGACAATTAAAAATGGACTTTGAGTTCAAAATATAAAAATATCAGAAACATTATTGCATTACCAGGTTGTGATACAAACTCGATGAACAGTGCTAGCAGCTATAAGGGCAACTGCTTCAGCAAATATAACTGCATCATGAAAGGATGACCATAAGTTTACTGAATAATCCACACATACCAATTCAAAAAATAAAAATAAGAATAAATAAATTGCAGAAAGCACAAGTTTCCATGTTACTCAAATTTAAGCTTGTTAAAAGAAACCAACCATCACCAATATTTAATAGAACAATCTTTCAGTTTTCAGCCAGATTACAAGCATCAACCCTCCATTGTTTAATTTCAGCAAAACTTTTGATTGCATTTAAGTTAAGCATGTGGCTATAGATGCAATGTCATATACACAAGCTGACGCCATATTTCCTGAGAGAAATGAGAAAAAATAGAGCACCTCTCTAATGAAAAATCGGGAAAGAGAGAAATCAAAGATGGAATTTATGTAATCACTCTCAGGAATTTGATAAGCTAGAGCTTAACTCTGGTGTGATTTTTTTCTTTAGAATAAGAAAGGTTGTGTTCTCGAAGATGACGAGAAAGATGTATATAACATAGCAAGGTTTGATAAGAATAAGCCCTTGTTTGAGCTCCATTGTTATGTTAAAATGAGTTTTGTAATAGTGATTATTTAGAGAATGTGTGGCTGAAAAATAGGAAAAAGTTTGGTTTTACATGCAAAATATTTTATTGAAAGAATCTATGGTTGGAAATGAATTTGGAGAAAAATGAGTTTTTGAATAATTGGGCTCAAACAAGGGCTGAATGGGTTCATTTTTCCTCTTTGTCCTCTTGACCAACCACCAACATTACTGGGGCTATCCCACACTTGCTTTTAGAAGGTGCACATTCAGTTAACTGATGGAACCAGATGGAAATTGGTAACCACGTCTCAGAATGAACAGATATTCGACAAGAGGCTGAGTTCCTTAGACTGGCAACAGATATTATGCAGTTCACAAAGTTAACAGAGTTGTCCATTTATAATTGCATTACACAGGATAAAGAGATAGATAAGAACATTCAGATAATCAAGGAGCTTATAGTGGACAAAAGGACAAAAGGAAAAGGAAATAAAAAAAACTGAAAGATATTTGACATACTTTTAAGCTTCCATTGTAAGTAAGCAAAGCAATGAATTAGACACAACACAAGATGGCACTTACCAGCACCCCACCCAGTCCTGATACCACATGTTTCCTGATAATTTCCAATGAACTGTAGACATGACACCCAAGTCAGATAGATGTTTTCAGTCTTGCATATTAAATATGTATAGTGATCATAACATGAGAACAGTATGAAGACATGTGTCATACCTCCTAGGTATTACATTGATAAAGTAGAGAAAATAATTGTGGAGATGTAGAAAATGACAGAGCTCACAACCGTTGTTTATTGCAACTAACATGTTTCACATCGATAAAATGCCTTGTGGAAAGTATATTACATGAACATAATATATGGCAGTTCTGTCAATATGTTCATTAATCACTACGGGATCTTATATTATGATTTTCCAGTTCAAATGTGGATTATTGAATATATTTTAACATTTTTCATGGACAAATACATTTATTTGTTAGACCAATTAATGTGGCCCCACGTAATATTATAAATAAATTAATATTTGGTCTATATATATTAAAAATCTGATTGGTCA